GAAAAAAATTAGTGGGTGACTCATGGTACTTGTCACTAATAATGTGACGAACAACTTTTTTAGCAGATTCCCACATCTTGACTTACCAACCTCTTTCATACCTTCAATAAATTCTTTATCATCGGTTAATAACTTTAATGCTTCACATTCTTCCTTGAATGCATTATGTAGAACATTGTTAACTGTCCTCAAGCGCTTATAATTTGTACATCCTTGTTGGACATTTAATACTTCTCAAGTAGTATACCTCTCTACTTTCTGTAAGCACGTATTGTAGTCTGCCTATTGACGGTCGTTGTTTCCTTAGAACTATTTCCGCACTTTGTGGTTGTACATAAAATATTCTCGAAACTCTTTGCATACGTCAAATTTTATCCCGCATTATATTTTGTATTGAAAATCATCTAAGCTTCAAACATTGAGGCTTTATCAATAATTTCTTTGACAACATCTTTTAGTTTTTGTTGGTGTATAAAGGTTACGAAATTTAGCCTTGGGTTATAAAAATTCAACCTAGTACTGATCACTACCTTTGTTGTATATCAAAAGAGAGGATTATCCAAGAGGCTTCACATTCAGATATGTAATGACAATCAGAATACTTATTTGTTTCATAATACATCATAATATCAACAATGCCAAAGTTAGATTGGGTAACTGCAACAATTACTTTATCTAGATCTTTATTTACATATTTAAAGAGATATTTGATTGAATTAGATTTATTTCAATGTTCAATGTTGTTTGATCTTGAAACCTCATCAAGAGTTGTGGGTTGTATGTCACAACAATTCGATTATCCAACTCGATATTCTTTTTCATTATATTGTNTTATTTGTTTCATAATACATCATAATATCAACAATGCCAAAGTTAGATTGGGTAACTGCAACAATTACTTTATCTAGATCTTTATTTACATATTTAAAGAGATATTTGATTGAATTAGATTTATTTCAATGTTCAATGTTGTTTGATCTTGAAACCTCATCAAGAGTTGTGGGTTGTATGTCACAACAATTCGATTATCCAACTCGATATTCTTTTTCATTATATTGTAGTGACCTCTAAGGTTCTTCTTTTATATATCAGGTAGTCATTCCTATCAAACGATTATCAAGAAATTTTTTAGGAAAATGTTTCATAAATTTATCATTCTCCATATATAGAGATCTAAGATCATTTATGCTACATGGATCATGCATCAATAATCGAGTTACGAACTCATAAAATCTAGGATATTTATTTTTATTATGAACATCTATACATGTCACACGATCAATTGACTCAAGCGGTTGAAGTTTATCCCTCTAGTGTAACCATATTATATGTGCATGAAGCAAGCTTCTCATTTGAAATTCAACAGTGTACAAACATGCACAAAATTTCTCATTACATTCAAATGACAATATTTTAAATTGAATGTCCATTTAAATTGTTTTTTATTTTACAATATCAAATATTTAAACAACTTAATTTTTTTATGTTATATACCATTTAAATTTCACACACACACACAAAATCTAGGTTTACTAAATTATTAAAATATATAATTCTTCTCACCCCCTGAATTCAAAAAATATATGACAAAAACATTGGTGATTTTATTATTCTTCTCCCCTACATTTATTTAACAAACTTAGATTTCCAATCTTGTAATTTTAATATAAAAAAATCACGATCCTTCTCCGCCAGATTAATTTACATTAACGAAAATATATGATTTTAATTTCTATGATGCATTAATGTGATTCTTTCTCTCCTTGGCCCTTTGCACTAATTAACAATTGACTCTTTTTTCTTGTATTATTAAAAAGTGTGAAAACATAAATTAACAATCATATGGTAAGAAATATAAATTTTACAATACATTAAAAATATAATGATTATTCTCCCTCGTATTATTTCAAAAATTATGTGAATGCAAAAAAAAACATTAGTGATTCTATGATTTTAATGAAATTTTACAAAAACTATTTCACAATTTTTACTCATTTTTTTGCTTTCTTTTTTAAATATTCAATCATTTAAGTGTGTGAAAGTATTTTGGTCAATACATAATGTTTTATAAAATACAAAGAGTTACAATTTAATAAAATACAAAGAGTTACAATTTTGGTCATCATTAATAAAATTTGCCACATAAGCAACCAATAAAGAGTTGTCATCTCACCTTAATATAGCCCACATAAGCTTGACTTTTGGCAACTTTCTAGCAAACGGAGCCTCAAATATTATATTAAAGGATTATATTTTTTATAATTAAAAAGAAATTTTTATACAATCCCTTTTTAATTATGAAACATTATAAAAGCTTAAGTGAGATTGTAAGAAAAAACACCCTAGCTTGGATGGTTAGGAACTCAACTAAATGACCAAGAGATCCTTGTTTCAAACTCCATGGTGGTATGCTTTTGAAAAAAATTGCAAAAAAAGAACTGGTCTGACCGGTCAAACCAATCGATTTGTCTAAAGGGTGACACATCAGCTCACCACATGTCGCGCTTTAGCTTTGCCAAATGTCACCACATCAGCTCGCCACATGTCGCACTTTAGCTCTGCCAAATGTCACGTTCTTATAGCTCCGACTCTGCTTTATATATATAAAGGATGCTAGAGGGTCGGTGTCGATTGCACAGTTGGTAAGATAAGGAGTGTGAAATTAGTAATATCCAAGTTCGATTCTTAGCAACTGTGTTGGGAGACAATTATGTTGAGCATAGAGCTTCTGCAAGAACCAGGTGCAGACTCAATTCATAGTCACTAATTTGAGATCATATTCTAATTTACCTTCTCTCACTGATGGTCCACGTGAGTTTGAGGTACAACTTAAGGATACTCCAATTTTACGTCATTGTCTCTTCAGCACAAAATACTCAGTGTGGATAAAAAAGATTAAATCATGCTTGGAGTACACCAAATTATACACCACACATGTATCCACCACAAATTTCTCATCGAGAACTTAAAATTTAAATTCTGGATAATAAATTTGTATGGGATGCATGAGTTATGTACAAACTTTGTGTACCTAAGCTTTTATTTAAATAAGATTGTATGAAGGATAAAGAATATATAGTTAGGACTGATGGTGTAAAATGAGGTAAATGATGTACCCTTAGCATTATTCTAATTTTGTGGCTAACAACCCCCTTATTTCCAATCTAAGCACCCTAAAAGCATGTGCGGGGGGATCCATCGTGCCTCTAAGAGGTGCAGGGTGGGTGGCGGAATCGACTGCCACGCTACAGGATGCGTTAGGCGCCTCGGTGCGGACCAGACACTGGGACTGGGCGGAGAGCAGAGTGCAAGAGAAGAGGTAGCGGCGTTGTCCATTGCAGACGGCCGCTGCACCGGTGGACGAATTTAATTTTTTTTTGCTTTCAATTTCTTTTTCCAATTTCAATTTTTCTAAGGTTTAAAAATTTAAATTTAACACAGCTCTAACTTTAATTTATTCACTCTTTTTCATATTTAATTGTGGTATTACGTATTGAGTAAATTTCTAGAAAGGTATTCAATAACTATATGTTTTCCTAAATTAGTCCTCAAAACTAACTAATTCTCAAAAAGATACTCGATAATTGAGAATAATGCTCAGTTCAGTCCCCCCCGACTAACGTCCGTTAAAATGACGTTAAACATTATACAACTTTTTCAAAATGGTACTTTCTTACTGGTATTTTCTCAAATTGGTCCATTTTTAAAATAAAAATGTATTAATTATGGAAAAATATTTAAAATTTTATAGGACTATAATAAGATACTAAAAACTATATAATTTTATAAATTCGAAAGTAAAGTTTTCGATATTTACAATTATTTAAAAGAATATCATGTAAACAAAATATTTAATAAACGTTGAATAAATCACCCTAAATAGGAGTAAAACATAGAGAAAAAGCTCATATTTAGAGTAATTTCTTTAACGATTATTAAACATTTTATTTACATGCTAATATTTTAAATAATTATAAATAATAAAAAAAACATTTACTTTTTAATTTATAAAATTATATTTATAGTTTTAAGTATTATATTGTCATCCTATAGAATTTATTTTTTTATAAATAATGTATTTTTATTTCAAAAATTGTCTAACTTGAGAAAACACCCTATTAGAAATTAACATGTTGGGAAAGTAGTATAAAAGTTTATCGTCGTTTTGACGCTGTTTTAACGGTCATTAGTCGGGGAACTGAATTGAGCATTATTTTCAATTAACGAGTATTATATGTTGGAAATAGGGTGAGTATGTATGGAGGAACAACGCTGCGTAACATTGTTACTTGGTATAAAGTAACGTAAAATGACTTGATAGCCAAAACGAATCGCGTGAAATCACGCTTTCAGATTAAAGTTATTTCGAGGTATACCGAAAGACTTCAATAGGATAAGACGTTAGTATATAGAACGAGTATAGACTTCCTTGTGATCTCAAACATACCATGCAGACCCATAATATAGGCATTTGGGCGATCGGACCTTCTAACTCGTTAACAACGTCTATTAAAATTTCTATCCGATCTTAAGTTAATCCAATTACATAAAATAGCCAATGACACTAAAATCACCAATATTATCTTGTGAATTAGTTAATTTTGGGGACTAATTTAAGAAAATATCGTTATTGAATACCATTTTGAAAAATTACTCTTACGTATTTTATATTTGCTTATTTCTTATATTTTTTGTTGTTATAATTTTTTTATATTTTGTTATTATTTATCTATTTTGATTAATAAATAAAAATATTATTAAATTAAAATAATTTTTTAATTAAAAATGAAAAAAAAATTGTAAGCATTGAAGATTTTTTGTGCCTAACCTATCCATTTTCTGCAAATTTCTGCGTCTCTATTTTCTGTTTTAACCCAACAAATCAGTATGCATTATACGTAATCAATTCCAACCCAACGCCACCAATGGGCCAACCCCAAAAGGGATGGCCATCTCAAAACTCTGACTCATATAAACTCCGTCATTCCGTATTATACGTATGGGTCTGTGTCTACGCTGGCGGTTTGCGCACCTCACATTCCGGCTTCCAATGGCCGAACCCTCCCACCCAATTTCCCCGAAAATCATCTGAATTTTCCAATCAAGAGGGGCCCGGAGATGCCGCTCTCGTTTTTCTAACAAGAGCACAAAAAAATCGAATCTTGAATCCGCCGCGACACCCACCGGCAATGGCCGACACCGCCGCGGCCAGACCCGTGATGGCGAAGAGCCTCAGCAAGAAAGATCTGCTGGGTGGGCTTCTGTTGGGCCGATACGAAATCGGGAAACTCCTGGGCCACGGGAGTTTCGCCAAGGTGTACCAAGCCCGGAACGCCAAGACCGACGAGAGCGTCGCCATTAAAGTGATCGACAAGGAGAAGGTTCTGAAGGTCGGCCTCATCTCCCACATCAAGCGGGAGATCTCGATTCTCCGGCGGGTCCGCCACCCCAACATTGTCCAGCTCTACGAGGTCATGGCCACCAAATCCAAGATTTTCTTTGTCATGGAATTCGTCAGAGGCGGCGAGCTCTTCAACAAGGTCGCCAAAGGGAGGCTGAAAGAAGACGCTGCCCGTAAGTATTTTCAGCAGCTCATCTCTGCCGTCGCGTTTTGCCACGCCCGCGGCGTCTACCACCGGGATTTGAAGCCGGAAAACATTCTGATCGACGAGGACGGGAATGTCAAGGTTTCTGATTTCGGGTTGAGCACCATTTCTGAGCAGATCAAGCAGGACGGGCTGTGCCACACGTTCTGCGGCACGCCCGCTTATGTTGCTCCTGAGCTATTGGCTCGGAAGGGTTACGATGCAGCTAAGGTGGACATATGGTCTTGTGGGGTAATTTTATTTGTGCTGATGGCCGGTTATTTACCATTTCATGATCAAAATGTGATGGCAATGTACAAGAAGATTTACAAGGGTGATTTTAGGTGTCCCAGATGGTTCTCTCACGAACTGGTCCGATTCTTGACCCGATTGCTCGACACGAATCCGTCAACGAGAATGACCATCCCGGATATAATGGGCAACAAGTGGTTCAAGAAAGGGTTCAAGCATGTCCAGTTTTACATTGAGGATGACAAACTGTGCAATGTGGTTGATGAAGCAGAGACGAACGATTTGATTGATTCTTTGTCCGATTTATCCGAATCGGAGTCAGAGATAGAGAGCAGGAAGAGGCTGAACAGCTTGCCCAAGCCCACTAGTTTGAATGCATTTGACATTATTTCGTTTTCGAGGGGCTTTGATTTGTCTGGGCTATTCGAGGAGGGGTCCGACGGGGGGAGGTTCATTTTAGGGGCACCTGTGTATATGATTGTGAACAAACTGGAAGAGATTGCAAAGGTGGTGAGTTTCAAAGTGAGGAAGAAAGACTTCAGGGTGAGTTTGGAAGGGTCTAAGGAGGGCGCGAAGGGGCCATTGACAATAGCTGCTGAGATCTTTGAGCTGACGCCGTCTTTGAGAGTTGTCGAAGTGAGAAAGAAAGGAGGCGATAGGGCGGAGTACGAAGAATTTTACAACCAGGAACTCAAACCCGGCCTTCAGCGCTTGATGTCTGAAGATGCTTCTTCTGATTCTCCACATTTTCCTTCAGATTCTGAGTAGTATGTCCCCTCTCCCTATGCCTTTTTTTTGTTTGTGCATGAATTTCTGCTTAGCCTTTGTATAATGCTCAAGCAATTAGTGATTTGCACAAAATTTGAAAAGCAAAATCACATTATATCTGCTTCACCGGAACGGTGCTTTATGTGGAAAATGGTGCTGGGAAAAAGCAGAAGTTGACATGCCAAACATGCTATGTGACTAGTATCGAAACACTCTCTTTAGTAAAGATGGTTTTGCCATTTAATCTTTTGGCTTCTATGTTTTAGTAGCCAAACTGGTTCACTCAAATAAGTACATTGTTGACAGGAAGCTGTGTATCTGGCTGATGAATGTGTTCTTCAAGGGAGAAGTGAAGCAAAACCTCCCAAGGATCATACACCCAGTCAGGAGGCTCAACCTGAGAGAGAGAGAGAGAGAGAGTGTGTTGATTTTTGAGACCAAGGTGGACCCCACTGAATGGCCATTGATGAAGAAAATGATAGTATTAATATCTGTTTCAGTAGATGTTAGATATGTGCACACCAATAGCATTAATTGGGGGAGAGAGGACAGGAAGGCATTGGGTGGGTGGAATGGAACACTACTTTTGGATGAGAATCAGTTACCCAAAATAGGTCTTTATAAGATTGATTGATTGATGCTAACTTTAAATAATTTTCATGTGCTTGAATCAATAATTTCTCCACATAAGAGCATCTCCAATACTGCTTTATATCCTCAAATCCAAACACATATAGTATGTAGGGGTGGACATGGTACGGTTCCGGTTCTGGTACCGCCAACCCATGTCACCGGAACCGTCACCGTGCCGGCCGGTACCGGTTCCGGTTCCCGGGCCGGCGGTTCCGGTACCGGACCGGCCGGTTTCGCCCCCCTCCTATTTTTTTTTTTTTGCTTTTTTTAAAATTTTTAAAGTATAAAATTTTAAATTTGCAATTCTTTAAGGAAAGAATGAAATAAAAAATCTAAAAATCTAGTTGTTATTTAAATATTTTAAATGAATAATACACTAACTGAAGAACAACCACATTTAATTAGGACTGCCAAGTTTTTTTCGCTGCTCCATTTCTTGGCATTTCTTTGGGAGCTTCCTCGAATATATAGCGAGTGGATTTTTTTGATTAATGTATAGATGTAATTGTATTTTTTTAATATTGAATAAGAAGTCTTGAGGGACTTCCATCTGTTGTTGCATTCATGTAATGCTCCGATTCGAGTAGGTACGATGACTCTTAGCTCGACGTCTTGCCAAGAGCCAATCTTGGTTGCAAACCAGTGTTTCAAGAGATTCAGCGCTAAGACAACTTCGAAAGTCGGTTAGAATGTTGCCGCCAGCACTGAATTCTCGTTCAACTGCTACGGTTGATACCGGAACGGATAACACTTGTCTTGCTAGCATGCCGAGACATGGGAACATGTGTTCGTTCCGCTTCCACCATCCGAGCACATCAAAATCCATGTCGTCGTCGTCGTAATCGCATGGCACACCCTGGTACATAGCAAGTTCGTTGTGCGAGCTTACTGTTGTACCACTTGAACTCGTCGAAGAATGAGCACGCTTCCCTTTTTTTGCAAGAAGATCACCGACTATTCCGGCAAAACCTTTTTTTGATTTCGGGGGCGGAGGTGGTGCTGTTTCTTCTTGTACAGTGCCGTATAACCCTTGATATTCCTCAAACAAATTCTCAAAAAAAGTTATAGCATTATCTCTTTCTTTTTTCCATTCTATTAAATGACTGTAGTAATAACTATTTTCATCTATAAAAAAAACTATAATAATACTCAATTAAAATTTTAAAATTTTCAATCTTAAAGCGTGGATCACAAATAATACCTATTTTATAAATATCAGGAATGAACAAATAATAAGCACACCATTTATCTCTCATAGGAGCGACATAAGGTACAACTCTGGATCAGCCATACTTTCACGAAAACATGTTGTGATTGTAACGCACTCTTTAAAAAATGTATTTGTAGTTGGTTGGTAAACATGAGAAAATGTAAGAGTTGCGTTATTAAAAACTTCTAATACGGCATTCAATTTTTCAACAATAACAAATTCAGAAGGATTAATGATTATACGAAGTTCATCACTAAAAAATTCAGCAAGTTCCTCTTTATATCTTAGAATCTGATGAATCAATTTGTAACATGATAAGGTAGATTACACCTATAGAAAACGTTTTTGATAAAGAAAAATACCCTTAGACTTACAGAACATCTTCCAGGACCTCGAAACAAGACGAGACCCCCAAATTCTTTTAATTCCTTCTTTAATATTCGTCAAAACTCCGCCCATAGCTTCTAGTCCCTGTTGAACACATAAATTTAAAACATGACAGGCACACCGTTGATGCAGAAATCTACCCATAGACGTAGACGGTGGGCAAATTTCTCTAAGTCTAGGAATAGCTGCAGTATTATTAGTAGCATTATCAAAACCAAATGAAAACACTTTTTCAGATAAGTTGTATTCCCGCAGAATACTCTGAATCAATAGAAAAATATTTTCAACATTATGCTGATCATTGAAATCACGAAATGCAAGAACACGTTTATGCATAATCCAATCACTATCTATCCAATGACAAGTAACACCCATATAAGACAAATTATGATAAGTTTCACTCCAAATATCAGAACAAATAGCAACACGAGAATTAAAATTGAGAAAAAAATTTGCCAAATTTATTTTCCCACTTTTATACTGACGAATAATTTCCCGTTTAATTGTTTTTCTTGAAAAACCTCGTGCTTGAGGGTTTAATGCCTGTTGACAATAATCAATAAATCCAAGTTTTTCAGAAAACATGTATGGCAAATTTTCTTCACAAATCATTTCGGCCATTTTTTGCTTATTTTGCTCGTCGCTGTAAGCAAAAAGGCCGCCCTTACCTCTGTTTGCAAACGAGAAATTTGGGTTTGCACTTCTTGTCGTCCCTTCTTTTTTGCCTCGTATTTGGCGTACTCCACGGGATGCCTCGACCTTAGGTGTTTTTCCGAACCGCCATAACCGCCGGAAACTCCCATTTTTATGACGGTCTCACAATGTTTACAAGTTCCATAAACTACGCCATCTTTTATTTCTTTGTCAAAATGATAAACAAATAAATCTGATATATATTTTTTTTTACCTTTGTCCGGACCTCGAGAGGTCTCGGGCTCACCTGCCTCCACGTCGACGTCGTTGCTCTGCGGTGTAGGCTCCTCGTCTCCGTGTAGATTATCCAATCTTACTTCATCAAGATCTTCGAATACACTATCAAGAGTGGGGAGATTTGCGTCCCTCTATCAGAATAAATATGGTCGAATTTTCATCCGTCATAGCGTCCCCGATTAAGTGATCGGGGATAGTAGGAAAGGAAGAGACGGAGTGTCTTCCTCGAGAACCGCGTGAGGTCGAACCGTCGGAGGTGGCTTTAGCTTTGCCTCTCCTCAAACTTCGGTTCACGGCGCCCATATCCACGGACCTTCTACCGGACTCTCTTGACATTTTAATATATGTATTTTTTGATAATAAATAAATATATTACTTTTGGAAAAATTAAAAATATTTCGAAATTTTATATATTAAAATTTCGAAAATTTCAATAAATAATAGAGAATATATTTAAAATATAAGTTATATATTTTTTGATATTAAACATATACTAAATTTCGAAAATTTCAAATAATTTCAAAATTTTATATATTAAAATATAATATATTTAAAAAAGATAGATAAGAATTAAGAAATTAAGAATGATTGATAAGAATTAAGAAATTAAGAATGATAGATTGAGATTTGAGAGAGTAAGAGATGAATTGAGTAATTGAAATTTTGATTGTGAATGTGTGATATTTTTTGGAAAAAAAAGGAGTATATATACTAATTTTTTAGCCCCCCCTCCCATCCCCATTCCCCCCCTCCTCTAACGGCTCAAGAGCCGTTGAGGCTGGCCCCCCCACTAACTTTTTTTTTTTTGCAGTTTTGCAGTGCAGCAGCAGGTGTCCGTTGGCATGAGCAAAAAAAAAGAAAAAAAAATAAAACCGGCACCGGTACCGGCGGTGCCGGTGACGAAAATTGGGAACCGGACACGGTACCGGTTGGGGCGGTACCGGTTCCAGGCCTTGGTTGCTCGTCTCCGGTGACGGTGACGGTACTCGGTACCAGCGGTACCGGTGCCGGTGACGGTACCGCACCGGTACCGTGTCCAGGCCTTAGTATGGCGGATAATTTCTTTTGAGTTTGAGTTTGGTGTAATGAGTTAAAAATAAATTACCGTTTGATTTGATATTTACCGTGTTTTGAGTTTAAATTTGGCATACATGATTGGAGACGACTTAATAAAAGATTGAAGTAAGCACCTCATGCTTGGTATTTCATTATTTGTCTTATTTGCACAGGTCTAAACTCGATTTGGTATTTCATTCCCTTTTGTCAACCTATCATCTTGTGAGGGTGTATTAGCTTGAAGTGAAATTTACATTAAATAGTACTCCCTCCTAGACCTGTGCAAATAAGGATCCGGGCCGGGCTTGATACAAATTATTAATCCATTTGCATGGGCAGGCTTGGCCCGGCCCGTATTTGATGGGCTAAACTCTTTACCCATACCCGCCCATCTTAGCGGGCCGAACTGCCCACCGGGCCGCCCGGCCCGGATAAAACATCAAGTAAATCTTTTTTACACAAAAAAATCAAAAAGAAAATATTGAACTCGTTTTCAAATGTTTAAAATAAAATTACCACTCGCCACATTTACATAGAAAACATAATAAAAATATTGTTACATAATTAATAAACCCATCATACAGATTCATTAAAAGACTATTGATTTTTGTTTAAGAGGGATGAGTGATATGAACTATTATACATGAAATAAATAAAATTTTAAAATTTATATTGTCTAGGTAATTAATAATAAAGTAAATGTATTTAATAAATATGGGCGGGCTTGTTGGCCCGAATGGACTAAAAGTAACTTCCAGATTCGCCCAAATACAATTCGGGCTTGGGCCGGCCCGTCCATGAGGGTATTAAAGATTGTCCATATCCGCCCATTTTAAAGGGCGGGCTGGGCGGGCCGGACGGGCCGACCCTTGTTTGCACAGGCCTACTGTCCCTCCGTCCCCCTAAGATGTTCTCATTTTGACTTTTGGTGGTTTTTAAGGAGAGTTGAAAAAAAGTGAAAGTTTACCATAATACCCCTAATGAAAAATGGGTTGAGTGTATTAAATGAAGTGGGTGAGGTGTAATAAATAAAGTAAGTGGGGGTAGTTGTGGTATTTTAATTGTTAAAAAATGAAATGAGAAGATCTATTGTGGACAAAGACTTGTATAATGCATTAGCTTGAAAGACTTGTTTAAAAGTCTTCCCATTAATTATGATGACAAGTTTAAAATGCATTAGCTTGAAAGACTTGTTTAAAATGCATTAGCTTGAAAGACTTGTTTAAAAAATCAAATGGGAAGAACATTTCCGGACAGAGGAAGATGTATTTTTATTACTCCATTAGCATATTTATTTCATAATATCTCGTAATTATTGTTTTCATTCAATCCCATAAATTTAGAGTGGTTACCTCTTTCCTCTCCCTATCATTAGTGTAAGATTTATTGTTATATAATACGGAGTAATAATTGTTATCATCATCATCATCATCATTATTATTGTTATTGTTATTATTATTAATATTACTCCCTATTTGTTAGGATGAGCCAGTGATTTTAGAGGGAAAGAAAAAAAGAAATTAAATAAGAATGAACTAACCATTTTTTTTTAAAGAGAGAAGGATTAAAACAAAAAAAAAGGACCAAACTTATGTGGCTCAATCATAATTTTTCTCTCTATGATTTTTATTCCTCTCTCCATATTTCCAACCTGTCTTTATCTAGTCCTTTCATTTTCTCTATTAAACATGCCCTTAGGTGGAAGGAGGTAAAAGACAACTATTTGTTCGCGATTTCAGTATCCTTCATTCTTCTTTCCTCGTCATTTCAATCGAATCAGCCAAACATACTCATTGATGTACTCGCCGCGTTCGCAACAACAAAAATTCACATATTAGAAGTCATTGTTTCCAAGTCATTGTTTCCATGTACTATGAATGAGCCAAAATTGTGTATAAATTACTTTAAATTTATAAATCAGTTGATGAAAAGTTTTTCTTTGTTTATAAACTGTTTATATATCAAAACAATAAGTAGATTTTACATATTTATTTTTAAACTATTTTTTCATCTTTTTTGTTTTCACCAAATTATTTACAAATTTATCACTCACCATTTATGAATATCCTCAAATTAATTATCTATCATTGGAAATATTTAACATATAAGTAACTTTTTCAAAAAAAAAGTAGCTTGTAAGTTAATTTTTTATCATCAACAAGCCAATAAGCACTAGCACAGAAAAACTCTCCCTTATTTTTGTTAGTTTGAAGTATTGGTTAATCTTTTGGCAAAATAGAAACTCATATTTGTAAAAAGTTTTACAATCTAGAAACCTCTATTTATTAAGAGAGGTTATGTAATTTAGACTCTAGAGCTGATATTTTTTCAAGACTACACAAAAGATGCTACAACATACTATGACGGGATCAGCAAGGCAAGTGGAGAAATTGGAGTCTTTGATATGCAATTTTACACGTAAGAGACCTATTGGGAATACAAATACATACTGGAATTTATTTATTAAATAACCAGCTGACATTCAGTGAGCTTTATCTAACTTGTGGATTAACATTAAAGATGTTGTATTCAAGACAACTTCTAATTACCTATCCGTACTAGCTAGGATTAAGGTTTAAAGAGGCCTATATATACGCATCAGAGATTAGGGATTCCTTGCAGCAATAGTGAGCTGAGTGAAAATATTCAGAATATACACTATTCTAGTGTGTCGAAATCGTAACATCTAGAAGATGAACCTGAGTTGAAGGAGAAAGTTGCCAACACGTTTGTCCTTGTGGTCTCGGTGGAGATGTGATAACTAAAATGGATCTGTACAGGTTAAATTACAAGTTAGGTATCCTAGATTAGAGACTATATCATTACAATTTGGAAAAATGTGTCACATCATGTTGCTATATACGTGTTTAATTTTCCTCCACTGATTTAGTGGTTGGCTCCACAGAGTAAGAGAGTTTCTCCGAACTGTATAAAAAAATATGGTGTTCTTCTTTATGATTTTTGTATTTATAGTATTCTGTCAGTAAGTAGTGTAACACCCTCTGCAACATCAATTTCTGTGTGTGAATTATCAATGTCCAATCTACTCAGTTCCACTTATTTCCACTTTCACTAATATTATACCTTATACAACCCTTTTGGAGAACCAGTAAGAGATAAATCTGACTTAAATTCCAATTAGTAAAGAGGATGCATGCACCACACTCTAAACATGTCCTACTACCCATGCTTTGTTAGGAAATACACGGACTCACGGAGGTGAGACACGACAGAGTACTACGGACAGAGTGAAGACTTGTTATACTTAACGAAGGGCTTGTTTGGGAATAGCGTTAGAGATTAGCGTTAGCGTTTTGGATAAAATTTTAACGGTGCAGATTAATTTGAAAACGCTGACGCTAAACACTGCCCGTAGATAGCCTTTTGAAAACGCTAACGCTAATCTCTAACGCTATTCCCAAACAGGCCCGAAAAAGTACTATACACTTTTAAATTAATATTCTTTTGACATATATCAAAAGTCTAAAATAATATTACAGTATCTAGAAGGGGTATGGAAATTCTGTGTATCTCCAATGTACCCAGACACTATTTACATATATACAGAGCAGAAATTGATCCGGTGTGTCTATTTATAAAACAACACAACCAGTTACGAAACATTCGAATGTATGAACAAACCATTTGAATTTATGTAGAGATAAATAACATGCAAATCCTCACGTCTTTAGGAAACAGTTTTAATGTTTAGGTTAAACATTTGAATGTATGCATTCCTTTGTAAAGGACGCTGATATTTATTTCTAACATTCGAATTTATAATTTTATACTCCGTATATTCAAATAGTTTTTATTTTGATTTGTTTATGAATATCTAATTTTGGAGCAAGAGGCTTTGACCTTTGGACACCGTCAGGGGCTATCACACGCAAATCCCGCTATAGAATTTATAATGAAATATCACTAGCTCGAACAATGAACGTACACTCCGCACCTCCAAACTCATTAGCAACGTATAAATTCCATTCGATCTAAATAAATTCAATACATAAAATAGTGGATGACTCTAAAATAGAGTTTACATCATCAAAGAATAGTTGTTCTTCCTTTATTAGCCAAAGTTCTAGTATATGATATTGTCTCTCTCCTATAGTATTTGCTCACTTTGATGAAATGTAATTACCAAGCTACATAAAAGTTACATTGCATATATATTAGCACTCTCAAAATGAGCTTGAAAACCAAACCTAAAATAAACTTTATTATGTGATTCTCAAATCTCTAAAACTTGCCACTTTGGGATGAACATATCTTGACTAAGTGCTTGCATTTGTTCTTCTTCTCTTCAATTTGTATATGTGTGGCTCACTAATATAATTTTAGAAAATAGTTTCAATATGCATTTAATTTCCTGATCATTAATTATTAATTATTATTATCAACATATATAAATGCAAGTTAAATAAAAATTCATCACTTGTGCTGCTGCTCAGAGCCTTCCCATTTCCAAATGATGTCCTTCAAAGAAGGCTTCAACTCGTGCTCACAGAACTTCCGGTACTCCATCGTGTCGCCGGAGCTCTTCTTCACTTCCACCACGTGAAACGACGGCGTGACCTCGAAGATCTCGGCGTCGATGGCCAGCCGCCCCTTCCTCCCCTGCTTGCTCCCCTGCAGCTTCACCGTCCCATCTTTCTTCTCCACCCTGAAGCTCTCCGTCACCGCGATCTCCTCCAGCCTCGACACGATCGTCGAGGCCGGCTGCTGCATCGTGAACCGCGACTCCGGCTTCCGGCTCGTGCCCACGTCGAACAGCCCCGACAGGTCGAAGCTGGGGGACAGTGAGATGATGTCGAACGCGTTCAGGCACGTCGGCTTCATCGACGCGTCCGAGGTTCCGGCGGCGGCGGCGGTCTGGTCTCCGTCTACGAGGAGTTCGATTTCGAGGACGCTCCGGGGGGAGAGTTCTTGGTCGGGGGACGACGGCGACCGGAATTGGACGAACCCCTTTTGGAACCAAGAGTTTTGCATGAGTTTGGAGAGAGGGATTCTTGAAACAGGGTTTGGATCAAGAATCCTGGAGAGGAGCTTCTTCACCTCCGGCGGAAACCACCGGGGGCATTTGAAATCTCCGCGGCTGATCTTCTTGTACATTTCCATGAGATTGGAGTCCCGGAAGGGGAGGTACCCGGCGAGGAGGACGAAGAGGATGACGCCGCAAGACCATATGTCGGCCTTCTCGCCGTCGTACCCCCTCTTGGTGATCACCTCCGGGGCGACGTACGCGGGGGTCCCGCAGGTGGTGTGGAGGAGGCCGTCCTGGCGGCGGGACTCGGCCAGGGCGCTCAGCCCGAAGTCGGAGACCTTGAGGTTCCCGGCTTCGTCGAGGAGGAGGTTCTCGGGCTTTAGGTCGCGGTGGTACACGCCGCGGCTGTGGCAGAAGTCCACGGCGGCCACCAGCTGCTGGAAGTACCGCCGGGCGGCGTCCTCCTTGAGCCTCCCCTTGGCGATCTTGCCGAAGAGTTCGCCGCGGCGGACGTACTCGATGGCGAAGTAGATCTTGGTCTTGCTGGCCATGACCTCGTGGAGCTGGACGACGTTGGGGTGTTTGATGAGCCTCATGACGGAGATTTCGCGTTTTATCTGCTCGATCAGACCCACCTTGAGGACCTTTTCTTTGTCGATGATCTTCACGGCGACGTTCTCCCCTGTTTTCGTGTTCCTGGCGTGGTACACCTTGGCGAAGGTCCCCTGCCCCAACAGCCGCCCGATTTGGTATTTCTGCATCACCATTGTCCCCTTCTCCATTTTCTCTTCTTCAAAATGGAAGTAATAATTCAGAAACCGGTTTATATCACAACAAAAATGGGATGGTGTTCAATCCACCATTTTGGATTTGAAGATTTTTTGTGTTTTGTTTTGCAGGGGCTAGGATGGGGAGATGATCCTTGCCCCGCAGAGATGGAAAGGAATTTGGTTTTTTGTTGTGTTTCTTGTTGTTTTTCTGGTGATTCAGAAACCAAAGGTTTGGAGTGGATTTTGTGAGAAGAAGAGAGAGAGAGAATGAGTCTAATGGCGTCTCTGAGCCATCACAAGTCCTAGAAGATAGAGAAGGGGCTTTTAACTCCTTTCTTTTGGTCCCAATTCATTCATTCGTTCATTCATCCATGGAGCTGTCTTATATTCTTTCTCATTAATAATACTCCGTAATAAGACATGGAATAAATTTAAAAAACAGTCCTTTATAATCATTGACGTTCTTCCACGTTTATATTATGTGAAATTGACGTTCTTCCACGTTTATATTATGTGAAATTTGCATTGAATATGACTAAAACATAAGTCATTTCCTAATTTAGAACTTAAACTTTTTTATTCTTTAAATAGGACTTAATACTCCCTTCCTCCAGAAATGTTCTTCCCATTTGATTTTTTACGGTCTCCAATAATATTTTATAAAAAATTGATATTTGAGAACTACGTTTCATTATGAATATATTGATATTAAATTTAAACCATAATACAATGTGTTTTTTCTCCAAATCATAGTCAAAGTTTATAAACTTTGACCAAGAAAAATCAAATGTGAAGAACATTTCCGGACGGAGGGAGTAATAACTAGTGAGAAGAATAATGTCTCAGTGATGCTGGACATTTAGTTGAATAATGACTAATAGATAATAACCAAAGGTCCTACATTGGGAAATAAAAATATATGGTCCTATTTTGAGAAAGTCATCATGTTTTAGTCTTATTTAGGTAAATTACCCTTAGATCATCCATCAAACATAGAGTTTGAAAAATCGGTCGGTCAGGTCAGGTTCGGGTTCAGTAACTTCAAGTTTGGATTATTTCGAGTTCGGGTCAATTTTGGTTCAAATTGAAAATTGTATATTCATGACCCAGTATCGTTGGATTCGGGTCGACCCAACGGGTTATGACCTTAGTTTTTAAAATTTTTAAATTCACATTAACACTTACATTTTCTATTAAATAAAAATAAAACATCAGAAAAAATGTATTAAATCTATAAAATTATTTTATTTTAAACTCTGAAGTAATTTTTAGATATATAAATCAATATAAGAAATTTAAAAAATGCTTAAATTTTGGAAAAAAGTAAGATAATTATGCAACATCATTAAAATTTTATTTGAAAATATAAATTTGTACACTAAAAACGAGTAGTAAAATGTACGATTTTGAAAAATTCTTACTTTAGCGGGTCGATCAGGTCAGGTTCGGGTTCGCATTTTGGGTTCGGTCATCAAAACTGTTAGAGTATATAACAATCATTTCTGGGCCACAACCACAAGCTTGAGCTTTTGGTTGAGTTGGTTCCTTGACATGGTATCAGAGCCTTGATGACCAAGAGGTCACGAGTTCGAAAGTCACCGCCACCCAGTTTTAAAAAATTAAGGTTTCACGTGTAAGGCTCAAAGAGGTCACGCCTGCACGTGAGGGGGCGTGTTAGAGTATATAACAATCATTCTTGGGCCACAACCACAAGCTTGAGCTTTTGGTTGAGTTGGTTCCTTAGCAATAGTAACTTAGCATGGTACCAATGTTTTCAGGTCGGGGTTCGGATCAAAACCAGGTCGGGTCATTTTTTGCCAGGTCTAATCAAACATATTACAATACAATTTTTTTTCTTTCTAATCCATATCATTTGTATTTTTTATTGATTATTTGTTTGAATAAAATATTAATGTCTTGTTTTGTAGTATTTTTTATATAATTTTTTATTCCGTAATATGTAAGTTTTAATTTTTTATTCTTATACTAATTTTTAAATAAAATAATTTCAAAAAACTCAAAATTTTACTAATGCAAAATTTGCATTCTAATTTGTATTCCGTGTGAATGGTGTGATCTTAAATAATCCTTCCTACCTTTCTTTCTAGATATACTCCGTAACATTTTAATTATTGATATTTCTAGTTTTATACTTCCTCCGTCTCATAAAGCATTTCAAAGATGAAAAAGGACATGCCCAAGAAAATTCGATATTATTTTCTAATTTAACTGTATTCTATAATAAAGTAGAATATGATGTGTAAGATATATGAGTCATAATTAAAAAATAATATCAAAATTTCACATATCACAGCATATTTTTATCTTTAAAAAGTTTTATCAAACGAAAGAAATATGAATATATGATATAAAAATCTAAACATAAAAAATACGGAGTATAGATTATTCTTTTTATTTATTGTTTCTGCCATGTGCTTACAATGGGGAAAGCAAGACAATAAATAGAGGAAGATACATAGAACTCTCACAACTCACAAGTAAAGCGACTATTGGAGTGTATAAAATATTCCTTGGACTTGCCATCACAAATGTGAGTTTCTGATTGATTTAGTTTTTTGACATTGTATGAGAGTCATATTGACCAGAAGATCACGAGTTTGAAAATTACTACCACCTAATTTTATAAAAATTGTTTCACGTGCAAAGCTAGAAGAAATCATGCCTACACGTGAGAGAACATGTTAAAATATAAGACCTACAACCACAAGTTTAATGTTTTGGTTGAATTAATTCTTTGACATAATATTACAATCTTGTCCATAAAGAGGTCACAAATTTGAACCTCATTGCCACCTAATTTTAAAAAAATATTGTTCACGTGCATCATTGGAGCAAATAATAAATCTCCATTGCACGTAAGAAAATGTGTTGGAGTATATAAACTATTTCATAATCCTACAATCACGAACTTGAGCTTTTGGTTAATTTAATTTCTTGAAAGCATGAGTCATAATTAGACTTGCACACGATTTGATTTTGAATCGCAACTAGCGAATTCAGAACGAGAATCATTCAAGTTCTTAATTTTTTGATATCAGAACTATAACGGTCTGAATCAGTTTTGTTTTTTTTTGTTTTAATGCTTTTTGGCCCTAGATAGGAACCTTTGGAGAATTAGGATTAGAGTAGCTGGATAGGAGCTCGGTGTTGTAGAGGTTGTTTTGTAGTGTGTTGTATTTGTTTGGAATCTTCTGCTATTGTTTGTACTTGTTGCTTGTACTTGATATCTTATCTGTGCTATACTGTGTTCTCTTCCATATTTTTGTGCAGGTGGAGCCGGGGGTCTCTTGGAAACAGCTTCCCTACTTCCGAGTAAGGGCAAGGTCTGCGTACACACACCCTCCCCAGACCCTACTGTTGTGGGATTCAACTGGGTTGTTGTTGTTGTTGTTTTAATGCTTTTAGTGCTTATTTTCAGTTTTTTTATAAGTTGATTCACAATATCACCATCAAGAAAAGAATTTGGAGTCAACTGTATTACTTTTTAACTAAAAGTGTCTAAAAAAATTATCTAAAACTTGTTTGGAATAAAAACCGAGGCTAAAAGCGAAACTGCTAGAGAACCGGAACTGCCTACACGATAACGGTACCGCTAAAATGGGTACCAAAACTGCCAGTGAAGTAATTGGAATCATACCGATACTATGTCCAACTTTGTGCAAACTAGGGTCAGCCGATTTAGCCCACCATAAGTAATTGGCAGATATCGGTAACAATAATTATCCATATGAGCAGGCCGGTAGTGATCTGTATTTTCATGTGGGTGGATATGGAAATTAACAATATCCCGTTGAGGCCAACAAGCCTGGCCATTTAAAAAAAATTAATATAATATTAGATTATTTTTCTCTATAATATGCCATCAATTACTAAAATATAGAAAGGACAGAGTGTTAGTTTTACATTTCACATTTGGGTATATGCAACGTGTCCTAATTGGAAGCTACGATTACAACTTTTTTTTTGTATTTTTTTTTTTTGGTCATGTTGGATTGCTTTTGTCTATCACTCTCTTTTTTCATTATAAAATTGTTATCAATACGACCTCATGCCAAACATATTGAGATATGCTTTGAAATCATCCACGACTGAGGCATCATTTCTAGCAATGATGAGATCGTCAACATAAACCAAAACGCAAATCCGAATAGTATCATTAAAGAAGGTATTGAGAGATTACCTTGGATTGAGCAAATCCTTAGCCTTTTCAGAGATGAAGACAACTTGTGGAACCAACAACAAGGAGCCTGACGAAGACCATATATCTTATGTGTAGGCGACAAACAAGGTCACGATGTAGGCTTCATATAAACCTCCTCCCGTAGATCCACATATAAGAAGTCATTATGGAATCCATTTGATGAGATCTTTGATTGCGAGCAGTGGCCACAGCTAAGAAAATGCAAACAATGACCAGATTGGCCGTGAGAACAAATGTTTCTTTAACATTAATGCTCTCTTTCTGACAGTTTCATATCGCTCAATGCTCCCGTCTTAGCAATGCTTAATCTTGTAAACCCATTTGGAGCCAATTGTCTTTTACTATGCGGGAGAGGTACCATACTCCATGTTCCATTTACTTCAATTTAAGCAATGGTTTTCAGTTTCTACACAAAGATAAACATTTGATGCTCTACTAAGAAACAAAATTCAGGTTCTAAGCAGTTTCATGCTTGAAACAAGATTTCAGTAATCAGATTTTTAATCATTCTTGCACTTTTAGAACAGGCTTCAACATAAAAAGATCAAAATCCAGCTTGTATCAAGATATATTCCTTCAAAAATCAGTTCCTATGCCAACTTAAGCAAGGAATATTCTAAGCACCTTAGCAACACAAAATCAGCATTCAAATCAAGCAAAAAATTGCTGATTTTTCAAAAACAACCAGCATGGACAGAGCAGATGACAAAACAAAAGCCTGCAAAATACTAGAAGAACGGGCTATCCATCTACTCTGGCCACATCATCCTTACTGAGCAGGGGAACGGTGGCAGGGGTTGATCCATTAATGACGATCTAGGCCGAGACGCGAGTCACAGTGGTATACTCGAGTGAGCAGAGCAGCGATGCCTTGAATCGTCCTAAAATGGTTGCATCCAGAAGCCAGAGGTCGAATCGTCCAAAAGGGGCCAGTCACACCATCACGGCGCTGAGTTTTATCCAAGTAGAGATTGTATGCGTAGGTGAGGGCAGCCTGGATGTCAGTTTCTGGAATGTCCTGGAGGGCAGTGGAGGCGTTCAACATCAGGGTTGGATATGAGAGGAGAGCATAATGACCCATCTGGTTGCGGTTGCCGTGCACAAATGAGTTGTGCTTGCCAGCTTGTTCGGTCCAGGCAGGGATGTCGAACATGGATGTGTGGTTGTCAATAACGCAACAACGGACGGCACCAGCAGCAGAGCCATTGGGGGAGCAGTCCTCAAGAGAAGTAGAATCTTTCCAAAACTGGCAATATCTTGCCATCATAGCAGCAACCGTGGAGAACCAGTAAAATGAATGGTCAAGGCGGAGAGCGGAGACCCAAGAATCCTCTACATCATCATTGTCAATGTTAAGATTGCCAGGGAGTTCACTGTTCATTTGAAGGGCAGCTTTTTGCCAGAGACGAAGGTTACCAGCATAAACAAGAGAGGCACCGGGGGAGCGGAGCATGATGTGTTCAGCAGTAGCTTCATTGTCACATGCTCGACCAAATATAGTGGCCAAGAAGCGAGGACCATCAACATCTCTAGCAAAAGAGATTTCGGTTGTCCCGTCGCGGGTAGCAGCATCACAAACAGAGTAGAGACGAGAAAAGTAGAAGCTCAAATTGGGCAAATGAGTGGTCATGTGCCCAAAGGTGTAGTGGGAAGCGCGGGTCCAGCCAGGGCGTTGGCAGATCGAAGGAGTAACATTTCCAAATCTTTCAGGGTCCGGGGTGAAGCAAGCCAGGTTCTTGAAGAAACTGACTAGAGGGCCAGGGATCCAGAGGGTAGACAGAGGATAAAGCATTTCAAACTCGGACAACAGAGTTCGGAGTTCGGAATGGGTAGCCAGGTGACCTGCAATCAGCATAGCCTTGAGAGTCTGGATATAGAAAAGCATCCCGAAGTAGATTTGAGAGAAAGGTGGGACCCAGCCCATGCATTTATCGGTCCAATGGCGGGTAGAGGCCATGATTGTGTCCATTTCATTGGCAATAGCCATCAAAACAGCAGCACAAGGAGTGAAGGTTGAAACAGCAGGGTAGGTGTACCTAGTGAAGGGGAAGTTGGCAGCAATACTCAACATGGAAGTTTAATTTCCAGTGTAGGGTCGCTTTGGTGGCGGCAGGGAGAGGAAGATCCAGGGAAAGAAGTGAAATTCCACAACCTAGGAGTCTAAGAAATCAATGATGTATCTCGTCAGCAATCATTTTCAAAATACTTGGATAAAAATCTAAATTTATTCTTGGACATTTTGTTAAAATCAAATATTTTCTTTCTCAATGAAGATCAACTTCAAATAATTCAAAATTCACGTCTTTTGTATATTCATTTTCATTCAAAATAGATGTGGAATGAACTCGTTGTAATGGTTGGCTTGGAAACAGAGGCTGAATTTAATTCAAATCAGAATCACTATAACTCGATTCAAATTTTGATTTTCAAATGTGTTCAAATAAATTTACAATGTAACAACTGCTAATATATCAAATAATTACGGATCATACACGACGAAATACTCAAATTTGAGGGATTTGCACATCGCAAATGAAAAAATCAACTAACATCATAAGCACAAAATTAAACTTTTGACACTTTTAAATACTAAATAATCAAGTAATTCGACTATTAGGAAGTCACAAATCAATTACAAGGTTTCATAAGCAGCAATTGGCAAAGCAACAACAAAAAAACGGATTACTTTGTTTGTCTTAATATCTAAAAAATAACTTTACACTTCTCGACTCTCTTTTTAGGAAACATAATGCAAAAATCTTATATTTCTCTCTTCCAAATTAATCCCACCCAAATGCACTTGTAAACATTTTTCAAACTCTATAAAGTTAGCAATTGGAAAAATAGAAAATAATTACTCAATATGAATTTAATCAATTTATAGAAAATAAAATTAACAATCAATTAATTACTGAAATACTCAAAAAAAACCCAAAGACATCGTGGATTCATAGTTCAAGATTCAAGAATAATAAATTAACTACTGATATTCAAAATTAATTAAAGTTAATTACTACTCCCTCCGTCCCAATGAAAAGTTTTTTATTGTACGAAGTATTAAACTGGAAATTAGGAAATTTACCTCTGGACGCGGCAGTGCGCCCGAGCTGGGGAATGAAGATCGACGCGGCGGCGGCGGCGGCGAGGTGGTGGACTGGTCAGTTTCGCCTTTCGTTCAGCGTTCTTCCTTTTGATTTTGTTCTGGGGTAGAGTAATTTGTTTTTCTTTTTTTTTTTGGGTTATACAACGTCTTTTTATCTAGATGAAAAAAGAAAAGTAAAATATGCACTAAATAGTATAAATAGTACTCTTTCCGTCTGCTTAATATCTTCTCATTTTGACTTTTTGTGGTTTTTAAGAAGAGTTGAAAAAAGGTGAAAGTTTACCATAATAACCTTAATGAAAATGGATGGAGTGTATTAAATGAGGTGGGTGATGTGTAATCGATAAAGTAAGTGGGGGTAGTTGTGGTATTTTAATTGTTAAAACAGGTAATGAGAAGATCCATGGTGGACAAATAAAAAGGGCTAATAGGAAGATCTATGGGGGACGAAGGGAGTATTAAAACATATGTCATTTTCCAATATAGTCCTTACACTTTTTTATTCCCTAAATAATACTTGAATAATATCTAGTGGTGGGAATAATGACCGATGGACAATTGGGAAAAAAAATATATAGTACTACATTAGGAAATTCATGCTTTTGTATTGTTTAGCTAAATTCCCCAAAACTTATGCGATCCTCTGTGGGTCCGCCTATCTTGCGGTAAGAGTAGAATATAATCCTCCTAAGTGAAAAATTACACTAAAGACATATTTTAGTGCCATGTACGTTCTTCAATCAAGTTATGGCGGTCAGCAAGTGGAGGGTCTTGACGAGGTGCGACATAGCCTATGCTAGGATTCTTTGAATGTTTGGATAATGGAATTAGAATTGAGGTTGTTGTCTAAAGCAGAGAAGGAGATCTCGTTGCAGACTCTTCTTAGGCGTTACCCCAGTATACTATGAGCGTTCTTTTATTATCACAATCTTTTTGTGATATTATTGAGAAGACTATATATGAACTCTTTTTGGTGGAAGGAGAATGTTATTCGGACTCGGTCACTCGCGTATTCATTAAATGTCTTGGAAACATATGGCTGTATCGAAGAAGTTTGCATGACTGGCTTAGAACTCATTCATGGTTTCAATATTGCAATGTTAGGAAAATTGGGATGGCATTTTCTTTCTAAATCCGATGCTTTGGTCTCTCGGGTATCTCCCAAACCAAGCTTCCTTGAAGCATCATTGGGCAATACACCTAGTTCCAGTTGGGAGATCATTTTGGCAGCCCTGGTTGGTGGGAGAAACACTATTCTTGTCTTTGGGTAAAATTTGGATGGGCTGTGTTTGGCTGAATTTGGGAGGCTCTTTCATGGCGGACTTCAATGGTGTTCTTCGTTGAACACAAGAACTATTGATGGCGGAAGCTTTGGCGTGTCGCGAGGCACTATCTTAACTTAAGGATCGTGGCGTTCAACAAGTTGAGTTGCAGATGCATGGACTGTCTCCAAGGTGTACAATGGCTGAATTGGGAAAGTAATTTGAGTTTCTTGTCCTTTCTTGGCGTGGTGTAGATTTAGTAAAACTAGATTAATTTTAAAATATAGTTTTTATATATTCCCTCCGTCCCAAATTAATTTGCATATAAACTAATCACATAATCAAACATCATTGACTTTCTTTTTCTATTTTTGTTAATAATTCGATAAAATAATATACTCATGTCACATCTTGTATCGTAGAACTTTTGATGTAGTTTTTCAATATCTAAGTTTTATTTTTTAAATCCACTCCAATTCCAAATAAATTATATTGAAAATAAATTCAGTAAAAAAATTGTATACCGACACAAGCGGTTTAAATTTGGACGGAGAAAGTATCAAATTTTAATTATTTAAAATATTTCACTAGGTGACCAAGATGTGTGCGAGTTTAGCATGTCAGGCTGCATTTGAGTGTCACTAGATGCGAAACATCTGCAATTGATCCGATCAAAGAGCTTGAGGCATGACACGAGACGCCCCTCGATAAAAGAATATTCCGTATTCATCAATATGACTCGAACTCAAGAGCTCCCATTAATGGAATGTCCAAGTGTAGAGTCTTGATTTAACTTTTTAAGTGTAAAGGGCTATGATGACTTTGCCATCGTGTGGTTCCATAACTCTCATTGTTTTACCTTGGCTGGTTGTGAGCTTAATTTTGTGTCGGCAACATTCATAAATGTATATTTACAATCACATACATAAGCATTATGTGGAGCCAATCCTTCCTTAAGCTCACATAGTTGTACACATCAGCAGGTTATTATGGCGCATCTGAAGACTAGATGTCCAGTTCTGCCCACCAAAGCGGAGAGAATCGGGGCCCCGCTGCAGCTGGCGAGACATCAATGGCTTCCCTGAGTTTTGAAACGACTTCGTTCATTGTCGGCCTTTTCCTCGCCTCTTTTTCAGTGCATTCTTGGATTACCTCACAAACAACGGATAGCTCGTTATCCTTGTAGGACTCCAGCGTTGGGTCAATCAATTCCTCCATCTTCTTGTCATTCAAGTGAGGTGTGGCCTACATAAAGCCACAATCTTGTCACATATTAATCAGGAAAATGAAAGAATTTATGACGGGTAAGGGTCACTAGACTAGGCCATCATATAACACTTCGGCTAACTCTTGAAAATGTTCCACGTTTACACGCTGAAGCTTACCCATTTAAGAAGAGAGCCTTGCTCCTCTGAGTAAGGTAGCTTTCCTGAGATTATTTCCAAAAGCACAAGTCCAAAACTGTATATATTTGCTTCTGGTTCTGCGAGTGGTGGCAGCTCGGAATGCTCATCCGAATCCTTTAACTTCGAATTGTCAGTGAATTCTGCCCAAAACCCAACCTCTCCTATCTGTGAAACATGAGAAATGTTCTTTTTTATACATTTAACAGTATTGGTTTACTATTGCACAACCGTAGAGACAATGTAGACCTTAGAAGCATAATCATCTGTCAAAAATATGGTATCTGAAGTGATGTTGGGATGAGACAGCGGCGGATTCAGATTGTGCATGTGTTGTAGACAATATGCTATTCCCATGACAATTCTCATTCTCACATTCCAGTCAAGATGTTCAAATTCTTGATCTGAAGTCAACAACACGTGCAGGGTTAAACGTTGAAAAGTTTGACTTTTTCTGTATATAATAAATGTATGGGTTTACCGTGCAGATGCTCAGAAAGAGTTCCGTTTGGGGCATACTCAAATACCATCATCCTAGTAAAAGGTTCATCCTCCTCACAGTACCCAATAAGGTTAATGAAATTCTTGTGGTTAATCCTTGAAAGAATGTCAATCTGAAAAGATATCGCAAACACCATATTCTCAATTTCGGATGTATAATTCACAATAACTTTTTTCAATCCAATCGACTAATAAGTACTCTAATCCAACCTTACCTTCTTCCTGAAGGAAATTTCTGCTCGATCGGACCAATCTTTTAGAGACGTAATGGCAGTAGAAAAAACTGCAATCTCTCCTTTACTTGACAAAGTTCCCTTGTAGCTAGTGTGAGCATCAGCTGTGCATATAATGTTGCTAAAATCTTCACATGCTGCTTCTAACTCAGATCTGTTCAGCTTTGGGACACCTAAAACATTTGTCAAAGACACTGTAAATGTTATCTCACATTGGGAAATTACATGTTTTAGTTTTCAAGATCGAGACTCGTACGCTATTTATATATTTTAAAAAAATCAAGCCTTGATTACAAATTCTCACGATTAGTACTCAAAGTTACTTGTGATGAATGCCTTCTGCAACTGACCACTCAATCCAGTTTTCCAAGGGCCAATGGTATTTGCTGATCTAGCTCTGCAGATAAAAACGACAACCACAGCCAAAATGAGCAAGAAAGCAACACATGAAATGGCTCCAACTATATACTCCCATGTTTTTTCAGATCCTCCAGAGTCTTGGTCGCCGGTTAGTTGAGGAAGAACACCATGATTCGATTGGTCGTGCTGTTTTGGATGGGGAGAAGGCAATGGTGCTTGGGGTGGAGAATTCACCTTCTTCTCAGGCAAAGCAGGAAATGACCCACTACTTCTGGTGATTGGTTGGGGAGTAATACTGCCCAACTGTGCCCCACCATCAATGGGAGCTACGGCTATGTTACTTGACTGTTCACCCAAGATTCGGTGCATCATGTCATGAAAACAGGGTGAACCTGCTAAGAGTCCATGCACCATCCTTGTTATAGAAGAATGTTTTAACAACTTAGGCACTAAAGCAAGAGTTAACTCAATTATAGTGATGCTTCTTCTCACTTGAATGGACATCGAAGCAATATTCAGAACTTCTGTGTAAAAAGCCCTTCCTGAAAGATGTCATTTGTCATAACCAAAAGCTTGTCGCGATAGTATTATTTCGATTATTTGATCTCAACTAACAAGAAATATGAAAAAAGTGAAAGCTTTAAAACATTTTTTTCCTGAAAAAAAGTCACAAATTTCATCAAAAGAATCTAGTTTTTCAAGAAACTTGTCAAAAACTTGTAAAACAGCTGGTTGCCAAAGGTTAGATGACAGAGGCCTTAAATTACCCGTGCCCAAGTTTTCTGTTAATACAGATAGGTCGGGTGAGGTTTGTGTCGAACTGCAATTCGGTCAGGAACCTAAGCTTCCAAATCTCCAAAGGAATGCTTCCATGGAAGGTATTATTACAAAGCAACCTGAGGAAAATTGAAAATGGTGTTCAGAAGCTCAAATGAGTTTTTTCCTCTGCTGCATGAGAATTCCATAGTAACAACTGAATGTCTCACAAGCTTCTCAGTAAATGCAATCCTCCAATTTCTGCCGGAATCGTTCCATTCAAACTGTTATACCTCATATCAAGCACCTCAAGCATTTTGAGTCGTCCAATTTCTGGAGGAATGACCCCAGAGAAACGGTTCTTGGAGAGCACACTGTTGATGGAAGTCCCAAACCAAAATTTTAGTACTCTATCAAAATGAAAGAGCAAAACACTATTTTAATGATAATCACAAAAACAAGAATAGCAATGTGAGAAAGCTACTCCTTACAGTGCCTTCAAGTGGGAAAGATTTCCTAGTTCGGGTGCAAGCGTTCCTTCCAAAGCATATCCTTTGAAATCCCTTAAACAAACAGGAACCCAATCGACATAGAGAATTACTGATCTAACTCAACCCCAAAAAACTCGCAATTTTTTAAAAGCACAAGACTTACAACATTTGCACACTACCATCAAAACAACGAACTCCAAGCCACATGCATGGATCACAGTCCTCAGTATTCCAGTTCAAGAAAACCCCATAGGGATCATAATCCACTCTTTCTTGAAATTTCAACAATGCAAGTCCTAAGGGCATCACCAAAATGGTTAAAACAACTCTGTAAATACCCAAAAGGTGGGTCAAATGTTGACCTTACCCCTACCTAAACCGGCAGAGAGGTTTTCTCTTTCAAAAAAAACACTCAGCTCAAGAATACATTAACATCTCATAAAACCCAACAATTGTTTACCTTCGGTGTTAAGAGAGCAATGCCCAAGAGTGTCGAGAACAAGAGCCAATATGATGAGATACAAAATCTGAATTCCATGTACAGTCAATCCATCCCCCATTGCTTTATACACCAATGTATATAGCTGTGATTGAGGCAGTGATAATCTCTACCGACAGCTATGGCTCTATACACAACTGCCAGTTTTTTAAAAGTAGCTCTTTATGCACAAAATGACCCTCCGAGCAACAACCGTTACTCGGACACAATGAGAACAATAACGATGACAACCACGTCAAGTACTAGAAAGTATTACCGAATACAATTTTTTTTAGTTTCCTAAAACACATACACACACATAAGATTGCAAATAAACAATAAAACATCAGCGCCTTCCAAGCCGTCCATGGAATTGGGGCCTCTCATTGTTAAAAATGCAACATCACTGGTGGACGAATCAATACGATTTCTCCAAGGTTCAACCTTTTAATTTCCTGCAAAACTGTTCAAGAAATGATAGAAACTTACCAATTATTGGTTCTTGGATTCAAATGAATGAAAAACTAACAAGAGAAATAAGAACAAGGGTTCACAAGCTGCTGAAAAACTACATTGAATATCTCAATAATAATAATAATAATTGTCTCAGGCAATCTGTTTATGGGGAGAAAAATGGGAAAATGGAAATGGGATTACATAACTAACCCAAGAGGAGGGCAGTCAAGGAAATAAGACAAATTCTTTTTCTTTCGCTGCTTCTTGTTGCCTAAATCGAGAACCTTAATAATTCTTGAAATTCAAATTTTCAAGAAAAGGCAATTGTGGGGTGCAATTGACGGGGGTAGGGGGGCGTGTTCGGGTCAGGGCAGGGGTGGGAGGTTTACCGGGGGGTTAGGGGGGCAGGAACCGTCAATTTTACGAACGGGGCACCGGAGCACCCCCGGGTCATCCCATGACATTGGAACCCAATGTCATGGGAACCCCACCCTTTACTATTATGACATTTCAATAAGTTTTGTTTGTTTGCGTATTTTCGTTGATCATTTAATAAAATAAAATATTCATGTCATTTCTTATTTTGTAGAATTATGTATTTTATTATAGAATTTTTTTTTTTTATTTCAATACCAATTTATAAATTAAATAGAATCATTTTAAAAAAATCATAAGATTTTACACTGTGGTCGAAAGATGTAATTTATTTTAGAATGAAAAAAGTATAAATGAAGTATAAATGAACTATACAATACCGTTTGTAGTTCTTTCAAGGCCATAGGCAAAAACTAAATTGGGAACCCTTAGATAGTTGTATATTAAGAAAAATAATAATGCAAAACAAGATGTTTTACTTTAAAGGAGATTATGCTTCATCATATTAAAAGTTATATAAAAACATTTGCTACAAGATAACTCTTTATGTCCTAAACATTCTTCCCATTTATTATTTACCTGATAAAACTTTTATCACTTTCTTTACTTATTTTCGTTAGTTATTTGATAAAATAATATAGTCTTGTCACCTCTTGTCATGCTCAAAGCCTTGAAGTGTCCATGTACATATGATATTTACAAAACTTCTAGTATCCACCAACTTTTTTGAATCAGTAAGTCCATGATATCGATAGTGATGAAAAGGGTATCTCTATGGGGGATCCTGACACTACTACAAAAAAAAGACCTTTTAAATCAGTTATTTTCACCTTTTTGCATCGGTTTTGAACCGATGCAAAAGCCAGCGATGCAAATGCTCAGGTTACTTTTTGCATCGTTTGTTAAACCGAGCTATTTAAAATTTACTCCTAATGAGTAAATTTTAAAACGGATATGTAGGTCGGTCAATATATGTTATTTCTATATTATAACATCTCAGATCATGTAGAATCAAACAAAAAGTAATCAAACAATCTATATTTCAAATGCAATCTATATCACAATGTCACATTTTAACTTAAACATAAACACAAAACCAATTCAAATATATACTAATTCAAGGAAATATATTGAAATAAATTTAGATTTATATTTACCCCTTGAAAAAAAATATTCACATAATACATATAAAAATATATAAATAAATAATACTGTAATTAAAATTTTAAAGTGAAATATTAAAAAAAAATACCTTAAGAAAATGTGAAGGGAAGTACGGCGAGGGTGGAGGAGCACGGCGACGGGACGGTGACGGAAGAGATGGCGGCGAGGGGTTGGAGGCACGGCGACGACAAGAACGGTTTGGAGGTTGGAGCGACGGCGAGCGAGGCGTTTGGAGGTTTGAGGCGACGACAAGAACGGTGAACCGAGCGACGACGAGTGAGGCGACGGCGAAGGCACGATGACAGCGTCGGGAAATACAGCGAAGGGTTTGGGGAGGTTTTTTTAAAAAAAATCGCGTAAGGATAATATTTTGGAGGCTGAATATAACAGCCCCTTTTGAATCGGTTATCCCTAATAACCGATGCAAAAGGGTATTTGCATCGGTAATTAGGGATAACTGATTCAAAAGGTTATCAGCATTTGAATCGGTTATCCCTAATAACCGATGCAAATACCCTTTTGCATCGGTTATTAGGGATAACCAATGCAAATGCAAAGCAGTACGCGAATTTTTTTTTCACATCGTTTGTTTTGCTTAACGATGCAAATGGGGGGATTTTGGTAGGCGTGTCGTAGCACCTACAAATTAATTTATTATTCTCCTTAACTCTTAACCCTCTTTATGATTCAAAATTCATCAAAACATATAGATAGGGTAAGTAAGGATCGATCCCACGAGGAAAGATACTTTTTAAGCTATGAAAATCAGTTCGCTTGTCACTTTTATTGAATAAAAACTAACTAAAATCTAAAAGCTAAAACTAAAGGATATGGGGGGTTTGAATGATAATTCTAAAGATATAAAAATGCAAATAAAATAAAGATGAAGATAACAGATAAGAGATACAAGATAGAACCACAACAGCAACTCAAACTCAGAAGAACACGCAGGGAGAAAACAAACACACAAACACAATCTCACAATAAACTTTATAAAACCTAGACAATAATAATTAACTTAAACCTTTTTTTGAAAATACTTATAGTTTTTAATAGAAAATAAAATGAACAAATTTGATTAGCAAATTAATTATGCCTTGATTCTGAAATTAAACTACCAATTAAACTCAGGGTTAGGCTGAAGAAGAGGTCCACCAACGATTCTTCCCTATTTTCCCATTTATATTAGCTCATGTTAGGACCAACCCTAACTCTAAACCCTACTACCCTTAGCAACCCAAAGACCAACCCTTAATACTACTAAGAATAGCGCATTAGAATCTTTGGAAAACATCACCATAACAATCTTACAGTAACACTACAGTTATTTAACAAAATAAGTTCGAGAACCTTGATTAGCAAAAACCACTTAATGAGGCAGCCAAGTACTAATCAAGTGACACTTAGTTTCTAGAAAAGTTCGGCTATTTAAAGTACTTTGGACTTTAAAAGAATATCAATTTAAATTGGATTAGGCGTGCACTCCCAATTGAGTCCAATTCAAGCATAAACACAGAGCTGTTCTCAGAACACTTTTTCGAGTTTAGGTTTAACAGTAGCATAGAGCTAAAATCTCTTCAAAGTCAAATGAATTCAACAAACAAAGATTCAATCTTTTTATAATTTCAGAGACTAATAAATCAATAAATCAAACTTGAACAATTCAACATCAACACACAAACAATTCAATACTTATAATACTACGTATAACTTAAACATTTAACATAAAAATGGAATTGAAAATAAACATTTTCAATACATGAAATTCAAACTCATCAATTTGGAATTGAACAAAGTAAATACAATACGGAGTATTTGAAAACAAAACAAAATTTGAAAAGGGAAGAGTTGCTCCCTGGTTCCTCTGCCTCGTTCTTGCCGGAAGTCAAGGGACGCCGGTCATCATCTACTGCTCAGCAGCCGTCCATCCTCGCCGGAGTTGCCATCGCTGGAACCAAATCCAAACATTGCGGCGCCGGACCTAGGGCCGAAACCCTAGGTCGGCTCTTCGTCTGCTCCGATTCGTTCTCTGCTCTGTTCTCGATTTCTCTCCTCTGCCGATGGGAGTCCCCCATTTATAAAATTAGAAAAAGAAGAGATTGCATTGGAGGAGAAGACTCTCTCCGTTTCTTGCGCTCTGCGGTCTTCTACGGTTCCTCCTCTACGGAGTCTTTCTTGATGCTAATTACTTGTAATGGATTGAGACTTTGACAAATGCTAATTGGATCAAATCCAATATTGGGCCCAAACTTTCATTTGTGGTGTCAAAGCTTTAAGAGTCCAGCATTGTTATTTCCTCAACTTTGAGCTCCAAAATATATCTAAAAAAATCGTGTCAAAGAAAATAATGTTTCCAAAATAATTATCAAATATAAATATGCTTAAAATCATGCATTTTATGTATAGAACGTAAATAATAGCCTAAAATGCCAAATAGAACAAAATGTGTTTATTTGAGTATAAAATGCATATAAAATATCTTAAAAGTACTAAGAAATGAGAAAATAAAATACGGAGTATGACATTTTGTGACTCAACAGATTTATTTGGTTGTTTTTGTAGTAGTGTGGTCTGAGGCATGTTAGCGTTTGAAACAAGAGTAATTTACCTAAATAGGACTAACACATAATGACTTTTTCAATATAGGACCATATATTTTTATTTCCCAATGTAGGACCATTGGTCATTATTGATTAGTCATTATTCAACTAAATGTCTAGCATCACTTGGACATTATTCTTCTCACTAGTCATTTTTAAATCCTATTTAGGGAATAAAAAAGTTTAAGTCCTACATTAGGAAATGATTTATGCTTTAGTCCTATTCACTACAAATTTCACTTAAAAGAAGGGCTCAAACTGTTGTCGTGCCTCCAAACACCAGGTTATTACATTGCATGGGCCTCCAAACACCAGGTTATTATATTGCCTTCCCTTTCGATATCCTCCTCATCATGGAGGCTTTCGAATAAGGGCTCAAACCGTTGTCGTGCCATGCGCAACACCTATTGTGGCTCATGGACAGGGCCAACAAGAATTGTAGATTGTCCGGGTAGGGCATGTCCAACCTTCCATTACATTAGCCATCATATTGGCTATGTTTTTCATGGTCGTCTTTAACCTGGGGGGTGGAAGAACGACAACATCCTGTTCACGGGCACTAGCCCATGTAGATGAATGCTTAGATTTGGCATCCACACGTCAAGCGTTTCAGGTCCTTCGTCCAACCATATTCTCACCAATATTTTTCACACAATAAGCTCTCGATGAAAGCCCCAATTATTAATTTTAGCCCACCAACTATGGAGGTACGAAGAACAATAATAGTAAAATAGATAACTCTTAGTATATGATCACAACATTACTTCTCCTAGCTTAATTCAGCTTAGGTTTACATATGAGGTTTACCCTCCGATCTATTTATAGTGTACAAACTAAGCTATTCATGGTAATTGATCATATCGTTGTCCTGGTTCTGTGCCACAGTTGATCTGATTGGAGCCTATGACAGAGCAAAGACTGGCTCATCAATCATTCACAATCACTGGAATTGACTCTCTCGCCAGCTTATCCACAGTCCAAGCCCTAACTTCAAACTACACTCTTCTTCTCTGCTCATAATACACTAATATTGAATGAATTAATAAAAGAAACACATTGGGCCGATTCTATAATCTCGCTAGGTCATATTTCCATCATTCTTACTATACACTTTATTTTCGTCTTAAATTGTGTGAGTTCAAGTAGAGACTTTTTTCCTTAAAAAAATGTAGAGATTTAATTTAGAAGAATGAGAGAAGTTTCGGCGAACCGGGGAGGACAGCTTGGGCTCAAATGAGATTTGGGAATATCAGCAGCCAAGGTATATTGGAGTATTTTAATGCGTTTTTTTTTTTTTTTTGCAAAGTCCACTTCAAATCATCCATAGTAACAACGTTCTTGTCAAGACAAAACAAAAAACAACGTACTATGTCCTTTGGATAGACCACTTTATCACTTTCTGCGTGTCATAATAGTATAGCATTTGAATGCCCTAAGCCCTAGCACCACAATGGCATGTGATGATGTGAAACTGCCATTATGGATGTAACAATGTACACAGCTCAATTAAGAAAAAGAGTAGTATATACTATATGGGAGCGTTTAGAATAACATCAGTTACTTATACATCATTTGCTTACACCAGTTTGTTTGGGGTGTCTACGGTGCTCCGTTTGTAAAAATGACGGTTATTACCCCTCCTAACCCTCCCCCTAAACCCCCCACCCCAACCCCACCCTTGCCCCCCACCCCAGCCCCCCCTCCCACCCCCCTCCCTACCCTCATACTAGATTGTGTGTATCTATTTAATGCATACACTTTAACTTGATAAACATGCATCAGTTCCTTCTTAGTTACGTGGGTGTAGAATAAACCGAAGATTCATGCTAGAAATTTCTCAGATTTTACATCAAGAGTTTGATACTAAACGTGTCACAGACATATACAGGTAGTTATGTTTGTGACATACAAAAGTCATTGTCCATGCATATTTATAAAACTCTTGGTGTTAAACTCTTGGTGTCAAATCTGACGAGCTTCTAACACTTTTTATTGACTTGTAATAGGTAACCCCATAATTTTGACACCACTATTCACCACATGCTTTGCACATACACGGACATTACACTTATTATACGTGCATGTCAGTACAAAACAATGGGATCAATATAATGGTGATGTTAAAATTGTGGGGTTAGCATGACTTTTTTGCACTACAAAAAATTGACTTTTTGTAACAAGGTAATTGTAGCGGATTCTAGAATTTGCCACAAATACCCCGTTACAAAAAATATTTGTGGCAAATTTTGATGAAAGAAATGTATTTGTAGCAAAATTTTATGCCACAAAAAGTCAAATTTTTTGTAATGTTGTTTTTTATTTAATAATGTGTTTTTTTTGTTCATTTTTTAACATTGCCTTAAACACACTTTGATCTAATGGTAGTTAGTACTAAATTAACTTTAATTGTATCCGAATATTGAAATCGTATTGATCTTCCCCTTTATATCATATATTTATTATAAAATTTGCACTAAATAGGGCTAAAATATAATGACTTTCCCAATGTAGAACTTAAATTTTTTTATTCCCTAAATAGGACTTTATAATGACCTAAATAGATTACATAGTTACTCTTCAATTCTAGCTTTCCAATAACTTTTATTTGTTTTCATGTTTTTATTGACCATTTGATAAAATACGATATTCTTATGACCACTTATTTTGTAAAAGTTCTGATTTATTTTTAAATATGTAAGATATATTTTTTAATTTTATAATGATTTGCAAACACGATATAAATTTAAAACCTACCAAATTTGCGGGTGTAGCAGTTCGAATAGTGTAAATCATTTTAGAACAGAGATGTATTTAGATACACAATCACAATTATTCCCTATCTAAGTGCGTGAAATGCTAGCTAGGTTCTAGTCTATATACAGGTGGGTTCATGGACTTGAATTGATATAAGAGCACATGGATGGTAAGGCTAGGTAGAAGACATGTTTTGGTGGTGAACATATATGACAACCACTTTGATTGTCACACAACTAGTCAAAACACTACAGAAACCAAAGACTAGAGATGAGAGGAAGGAGTTGAATTTCAGAATCAAACCCACCATTACCATCACACCACATCCACGCATATATTCCACACGATCTTTCTCCCAATTTAATTATTATGTTCTCTACATTCCTTTTCTTTTTCCTTACTTTTTTAAATGATTGAAGTAAATTGAACAACTTCTGTCAACCGAGTACCACAGTAGTACATCACTTTTTTCAAGAGGAATGAATTAACGTAAGTGTACCTCAAAATACGATACCCCAATTATACTCTAGATATTCACAGACACATACAGACTTTTCATGTCTATGCACAAATATGAAGAGTGTCTCTGAATGTAAGGAGTACAAATGGTCTTAATTGGGCCGCTAGTAGTCTCATTTGATTTTGATAAAAGGCTAGAACGATTTTGCACCAAATTGTCCTTTCTGAAAGACAATACTGGGATCGGATCAAACCAGGACTAGAGTTGTAATTTATTTGCAAAGTAATATAATGTAATTTTTTAAATTGATGATAAAAAATGTTCATTCAAAAAAAGTCAAATGAAATAAATATAAGGTGAGAGACAATACGATAACAATTCTCCAAATGGAATATTTGTACTCCCTAACTTACATTCCTTCCGTCTCAAAATGTTTATCTAATTTTGTTTTTAAATTTAAATAAAATTATTTTTTGACTTATAATTAACTAAAGTTACTCCGGTATATGTATATTAATTAGATAAAATAATATTTTAAAATATTATACAAGAAAAATCTAATAAGGATACTTTTACATCAATGTTTAATGTCAATTTTATTTAATTGATAGTCATAATTTATTGGTTTTGATGGTAAACTAGTATCACACCGTGCGTTGCACGGGTCATTTTTATGTTATTAAATTCAGATCATTTGTCAATTATAAAAAATGAGATGCAATAGAATATAGATATTATATCATTCCAAAGTACAAAACATTAATGTTTTACAAATTTCGAAAGACTTCTTTATATACTACATTATGTGTAGTCTTTGTGGGAGTATTGTCTTCATTGCATATCAGAATCTTCAATCCGCTACGATTAGTTACTCTTGAAACTGCAACATAGAGCTGTCCATGACTAAACACAGGTTTCCGTAACAGAAGTCCAACATGTTTCAGAGATTGTCCCTAGCTCTTGTTAATCGTCATTGCGTACGAAGTAACCACAGGGAATTGTCTTCTTTGAAACTTGAAAGGAATTCTTGTATCGGACGGTGTTAATGATAGTCTTAGAATAACAACTTCTTCACCCATGTGGCTTCGTGATAATATTTTTCCTTGTATAGAGTGATTAGCCAACCGGGTTACTATCAACCGTGTACCATTACATAAACCCATTGAATGCTCAATATTTCTCAACAACATAATAGGCGTGTCTACCTTTAGAGCTAATTCGTGATTCGGTACACCTGAAGCACGAATCTTATTTAAGAATTCGGGAGAGTGTAGGTCACCAAAAAAACTTGAACTGCAATTCGAGTTCTCAACTTTATCAGAACTAAGGTATGTTCGAGTCTCGCTGCTTGGATTCATCGCTGTCATATATTCGTTTATGGAATCGACGACATCCAGTGTAGGAGCCAAAATTGCGCGCTCCTGCAAGTAGCTCAGTTCATTAGCTATTTTTTGAAAGTCTGGATAAGTTGAATTCACTATAGTGGCTATTGGATCTTCAGAAGACGGAAGTAACATGTCATCAGGAATAATCACCTCAGCATAACCGTCATGATCATCACCTGCGTTCCCGTCACCAATACTCTCAATCCATTTGCTGAATTCAAATGATTGATAATAACCACTATCATGAATCATATGGTAATTACTAAATGGTAATTAATGGATCATTAAAATAACCGTGTATAAATAACCGTGGTAATTTAATTTAGTTAAGGTAGTAAAACTTTGTAATTTTATTTTGTATGAATGTTTTATTTCATACATTTTTATATACAAAAATATAGAAGCTAAATTAAATAAAATTTCCATTCGTACCTTTTTTAAACATGTTTATATTAAATTACCATTACCATTCCTTACCATTTTAATTACACGGTTATATTAAATTACCATTTTTAGTTGAGCATTCGTTACCTTTTTTATACACGGTTTTTATTCCTTTTTTATACACGGTTATTTTAAATTACACGGTTATATGTTGATCACAATTACACTAATTTTACATTCACGGTAAAATTAATTGAGTAATACCATATTACGGTAACTAAATCAAATTAAATTTCCATTCGTTACCTTTTTTACACATGTTTATATTAAATTAACATTCGTTACCATTTTAATTACACGGTTATATTAAATTACCATTTTTAATTGAGCATTCGTTACCTTTTTTATACACGGTTTTTATAACTAAAGGTTATTATGCATTTTATTCAAAGTTTATTATTTATTAAATTTCCATTCGTTACCTTTTTTATACCATTCCTTTCTCCGGATTTTTAAGTAAATATAACTAAACTTTATTATGGTAATTACATCTTTAAATACCTTTTCTGTTATACGTCATCAAAGTTTTGAATATTTAATTTTGAATATTTTCCAAAAATAAACTCTAGACAAACACCTTTTCTATATTAGACAAACACCATAATTAGACAAATTACCATTTCTATATTCAATACTTACCTTTTGTACCTCACCACCATGGGTGGGAAAACGCAAGGTGAAATTCCCCTTGTTTTAAATATAGTATAGATATAGATTTCTTGTATTAATATTTCTAGTATTAATACCGTGTATATTATTCAATAGTAAAAATTTGTGTTGCCTTTTCATTATTCAAGAGGGTGGAGCAACACGATATATACCTAATTCATGAAAGTTTTTATTTAATATATTTTAAAATTTTAAAATAAGAGCACGGTGCCATGCTATTAAATAATACTCCTTCCGTCCCCTGTATTTGTCCACTTTCATTTTTACACATCATCCAATGCACTTCTTTAATCCATTTTATCTTGTAATTTGTATATTAAAAAATTATAAAAATTATATATAAATAATCTATATGTTTAGACAAATCAAACAAGATCACACATGACTATATTTAGGCTTACACATTGAGAGAATTTGATGAGTCAAAGTGCTTAGATGAACAGTTCCAAAAGTCAAATGTGGACAAATACAGGGGGACGGAGGGAGTAATAAAATTACAAAGTTTTATTACCTTAACTAAATTAAATTACCACGGTTATTTATACACGGATATTTTAATGATCCATTAATTACCATTTAGTAATTACCATATGGAGTGAAAAATTACCATATTTTAAAATTTTAAAATAGCACCACGGTGCTATGCTATTAAATAATAATAAAATTACAAAGTTTTACTACCTTAACTAAATTAAATTACCACGGTTATTTATACACAGTTATTTTAATGATCCATTAATTGCCATTTAGTAATTACCATATGGAGTGAAGAATTACCATATTTTAAAATTTTAAAATAGCAGCACGGTGCCATGCTATTAAATATAATAAAAGTACAAAGTTTTACTACCTTAACTAAATTAAATTACCACGGTTATTTATACACGGTTATTTTAATGATCCATTAATTACCATTTAGTAATTACCATATGGAGTGAAGAATTACCATATTTTAAAATTTTAAAATAGCAGCACGGTGCCATGCTATTAAATAATAATAAAATTACAAAGTTTTACTACTTTAACTAAATTAAATTACCACGGTTATTTATACACGGTTATTTTAATGATCCATTAATTACCATTTAGTAATTACCATATGGAGTGAAAAATTACCATACTTTAAAATTTTAAAATAGAAGCACGGTGCCATGCCATTAATTAATAATAAAATTACAAAGTTCTACTATCTTAACTAAATTAAATTACCACGGTTATTTATACACGGTTATTTTAATGATCCATTAATTACCATTTAGTAATTACCATATGGAGTGAAGAATTACCATATTCTCCACACCATGAAATGGGCGGGAAAAGACCAATGGAAATCCATGGCTTTTTAAATAATAGATAGATAGTCTAAACTAGAAAAATAATTAGTAACCACATATTATCTCCGTCTCTAAATATTTGTCTAGTTTTAAATTTTTCACTCAACTATTTTTGACCTTTGACTTATAATTATATTAAATATATATTGTATATTACTTAAATTAAATAATATTTTGAAAATACTCCCTCCGTCCCACAATACACTTCCCCTTTTCTTTTTCATTCGTTCCAAAAAACACTTTTGTTTTCCTATTAAAAAGTCACTTTTACCTCTATTAATTCTTAACCTACCTATCATATCACATTTTTTCTCAATTAATCTACTCATTTGATCTCATCCTACTTTATCCATCACATCAAAGGACATTTTTGGAAAGTCAACATCAAAATACACTCCTCTTAAATCTTTAAAAAGTCAAAATAAGAAGTTTTTAAGTCAAAATAAGAAGTTTTTAAAAAGTCAAAATAAAAAGTTATTTTTTTGAAATCATTTTATTTACGAATCGGTATATCAATAAGAAATAAAAATTAAATATTAAAAAACTACGCCAAAAATTCTACAAAACAAGAGGTGACAAGAATATTTTTTTATCAAATACTTAATGAAATTGAGTAAATAAACAAAAACCATCGAGAAGAGAGAAAAATTATAATCAAATAGGGACGGAGGGAGTAGAAGAAAGGTTTTTAGGAATAAACTATCCCAAAGTAAATTGCATGTTTACATTGAAAATTCACATAGTCAAACTTTATTCATTTTCTTTTTCTATTTTAATTTAGTCATTTGACAAAATAATATAGTCATGTCACCACTAGTTTGTGAATAATGAATCACTCTAAATAGGAATAAAACAAATAGTCTCTCTCTTTCTTAAAACCATTCCTCTTTCATTATTTTTGTGTTCCTTAAAACACTTTCACTTTCTTTTAAAAAACCACATTTACACCTATTTTTTCTTACCCTACTTGTCACATAATACTTTTTCACTAATAATCTATTTATCACATCTTACTTTTATCTATCATATCAAGAACAAAATTGAAAAGTCAACTCCAAATAATCTTTCCTTATTTTTGCCAAAAGTCAAAATAAGAATTGTTTATGGAAACGAAGGGAGTAGAAAGCACCAAAACAAGAACTCCATATATTTACCCGCCAAATAGAAATTTGCATTGTGGTAATATGACATTGCACATTAACAAGTTACAATATTTTTTGGTAATGTATATGGTCATAATTCGTCCGGTAAATGTATTTTAACTCCTATTTGGAAAATAAAAACATAGAACTCCTATTTTGGTATATTTTCAATGTTATACTTTTATTCTAGTCATTTTCCCTTTGTAGATCTTTTGATTTGATGTAGTTTTTAAGTATAAGATTTTTACTTTTTTTAATTCTACTCCATTTTTCATATAAAATGATTTGAAAATAATTTCACTCAAACACCCTAAACTGAAACAAACGGTTTAAATTGGGACGAAGGGAGTAACTAATCGGTGTGAATTCGAAAGGCGGCGATTTAAATCATTAATTTTACTAACATACTTCTTCCGTCCCTAAATTAAAGATTGTCACAATTTGACTTTTTTGGTCAAATTGTGACATCTTTTGACCATAAATTAAATATAATTTAAAATAATTAAATATTATAAAAATGTGATATTTTAAAATAACATTTTTAATAAGCCAACTTTACTAAATTTACGTTATAATTAAATATACTTTTTTACATAATTCATGATTAAAAGGTGTCACAGTTTGACAAAATAAAATTAAACTGTGACAATCATTTAGGAACTTCAATAAAACTCCTCTCCTAGGTTTAAAAAAGTACAGTAACTTAAAAAAAGTTAGAAAATAAATTATTGGAGTACATAATTCTTTTTGGACTATGTGAATTTTTTAAAGAAAAAAAATGAATAAGAAATAAAGTACATCGTCCATTCTCTTCATTTAAACCGTCTCACGGAAGGCTGAGTTCTTTCTTCTCGCGACACTATATATAGGAAGAATTAAAACGGGAACGGGACCAAGTCAGATTGAAGGGAAAAAAAGAAAAAGAAAAAATTGACGGCATGAGAAACGCTGTTAGATGTTGCATCTCTTGCATCCTCCCATGCGGAGTCCTGGACGTGATTCGGATAGTCCACACAAACGGCCGAGTCGAGGAGATTAACGGCGACGTCACGGCGGCGGAGGTCATGAAATTGCACCCCAAACACGTCCTTAAGCAGCCCTCCCCTCGCTCCCCGGACGACCCCTGCCGCAAGGTTGTCGTCGTCCCGCCGGAAGCCGCCCTCCAGCGCGGCAAGATCTACTTCCTCGTGCCGGCGCTTTCTCCGTCGGGAAAGCTCACCTCTAGATCCTCCACCATGACGAGAAAGAAGGGGGTGTTTCCGGCGGAGAGGCGGAGCAAGGCTGCGAGTGACGCCGCGTCGGATCAGTACTTGAGCGAGATCCTGTCGGAGAAGATCTCCACGGCGGCGCCGGGAGATCGCCGGCGAGGCCGTGTGGGCATTTGGAGACCTCATCTAGAGAGCATTTCCGAGACTCCAAGTGAATCTTAGTATCCATCCGTTTTGAGTTTTTTCTGTGTGTGTTTAATTGGTTTGTTTTATTGTACATTCATTTTCGGGAACATCGTCCTAGGAATTTAAGTTTCAACTTCTTATCCTTTCAAAAAAAAAAAAAAGAGAAAATCAACTTCTTATCTTAAAACTCATTTATTGATGTGTAATTTCTGAGGCAAAATTTAGTTCGTACTGACATTATGAATATGTTTCTCTAATCTCTATATTCATGCTTAGAGTATTGGAAATGTCCTTGATGCCCACCCCGTCAGACGGGTGTGTAGTGCCTTCAAGGCATTAAACACCGCTAAGGCTGAATAACGGTCGGTTTCGATTTGAAACCGAAAAAATTAATTTTTTTAAGATGGTTGAAAACCGACCGAACCGATCATAAACTAAAATCAACCAATCAAAATCGAAAAACGCCCATACAACAAAAAATCGACCGAAAAATTGAATTTTAATTAACTCTATTTTGACTTTTTAATAGAAACTCAAGAAACTAACTCGACAAGGTAGATTGATTTGTGTTAAATTAGTTTAGATTAACACTTTTCTATTGTGATTAATTTAGTAAGGTAGATTAATGTTTATTTGAATATACATTGTCCATTTCATATAACAACTGCATTTTTCTTATTAATATGTTCAAAACATTAACAAATCTTCTTTTTACTAGTAAAACAACAAAGTTTTTCATGGAAAAGTAAGAAGAAAGCATGTGTGTTAATTAAATATTTTCTTATTCTAAAAAATAAAAAATAAAATAAAATAAAATCATCAGTTATTCAATCAGTTTGGTTTTTTCTTACAAAAAACCAAAAACTGACCGAAAAACCAAAAATGCTTTTTACATGACAACCGAAATCGAAATCAAACTTTCGGTTATTTCGGTTTTCGGTTTTTGATTTCGCGGTAGGTTCGGTTAATTTGCTCAGCCCTAAACACCGCTCATGAGGCGTTATAAGGGCGTTAAGTCTTAGTGACTCTATGGTGGACCTAATATCCTTATTGACCTTCTCACATACTACCTCCGTTTCTCAAAAGAGTTCCTCTTTTGACTTTGGGAAAAAATAAGGAAGTGTTAAATTGTAGTTGACTTTCCAATTTTGCCCTTGATGTGATGGGTAAAAGTAAGATGTGATAGTTTAGTTGTTAGTGAAAAAGTATGATGTGATAGGTAGGGTATGAAAAAGTAGGGGTAAACGTGGTTTTTTAATAGAAAGGGGAAGTGTTTTAAGAAAAACAAAAAAAAATAAAAGAGGAAGGGTTTTAAGAAACGGAGGGAGTATTTTTCTTAATTTTAAAAATTATTACTCCCTCCGTCCTATAACATTCTTCCTATTTCTGTTTACGAGGTTTGACCGACTTTATTTTCAATTCAATTTATTTGATTGTAGGTGTAAAATTAAAATATAAAATTTATATATTTAATAACTAAATAAAAATTTTACTCCCTCTGTCCTAAAAAGATTTACACGTTTCAAAAAAATTGCGTCCCACAATCCCTTACTCATTTCTATTAAAAAACCACTTTTACCCCTTACTTTTTCAAACCCTACATATCACATCATACCTTTTTCTTAATAATTTACACATCACATCATACTTTTACCCATCACATCAAGGGTATTTTTGGAAAGTCAACACAAAATTATCTCTCCCTTAATTTCTACTTTAGTCAAAATGTACTCATCTTTATGGGACGAAAGGAGTATAAAATAAGAGGTGACAAGACTATATTATTTTATCAAATAACTAACGAAAATATGTAAAGAAAGTGATTAAAGTTTGACCGTGTGAATAGTAACTGAGATGAACATTTTAGAAAGGATGAGTATTTCAATACTTGAAAATGATTATTTAACATATATGAAAGTCCATCATGGACCTTAGACGCATGTAATAATTTGCATAAGCCTTATGTGTTAAACATTTAAGTGGCTGAAGTGTAGGAAAGAGTCATTGCCCACCCCCGATGGTACAGTCCAAATTATGGCCGTTTCCGTTTTAAAAAAAATTAAATTTCAACTATAAATACTCTGTAATGCCCTGAAAACCGGCTTAATAGTTAGCCGTATGTTGAGAAAATAAATATATTATATATTTATTTATTTTGACACAAGAATATAAATTATTTATAAAGTCAACATTTTTATTCAATTTTGGTGTCGTTGGGTAGATCTTGCGAAAAGAGGACCAACGACACATAATTTGTTGAGTTTGGATTTGTGTATAGGACATGAGTAAAATGGTTATTGGAGTACATTAAACAATTGGAAAGGTTTAATTCTAATCTTTTAAATAAAAGATTGAATTATGGAGGTTGTATATACATTAAGTGAAATTTGTACTAAATAAGATTAAAACATAATGACTTTCCTAATGTAGGACTTAAACTTTTTTATTTCCCAAATAGGACTTAACAATGACTTAGTGGAAGGAATAATGTTCAGTAATGATGGACATTTACTTGAATAATGACTACTTGATAATGACCAAAGGTCCTACATTGGGAAATAAAAACATATGGTCCTATATTGGGAAAGTCATTATGTTTTAGACCTATTTAGGTAAATTTCTCAATCATTAACTCATGAAGTACCCGTAGGGTTTTTGTTCTTGTCCGCCTCCTTCATCGAAAACCGCCGCTGAACAAGGAAAGAAACAACAGAGACTCCGATTCGCCAAATCCGACCTGCACCACCGTCCACCACGCCGTTGACGAGTACGTCGGTGCAAGCGTGACACTATAACCACTATCAGATACTCTCTTTCTCGTCTTTGCAATCCAGCGACACCGGGACTCGGCCAACAAGATGAAGGGGACAGTTGAGCGACTCTTTATTCCGGTGAACTTTTCCTAAATAGGATTTTTTTCCCAATGTAGCACTTTTAGTCATTATCCATTAGTCATTATTTAAGTAAATATTCGTCATCACTGGTCATTATTCTTCTTTCTAGACATTATTAAGTGACATTTAGGGAATAAAACAATTTAGCTGCTATTTAGAGAAAATGATTTTAGTTTAAGTGCTAGTTAGTGCAAATATTTCTATTACAAATTCATAGCGGAGGTCTGAAGAGGCAGCCCCCGGTAGCGGGGTCTAAGCTAAGGGGCGGTAGAGCCTGTCAGGGTCTAAAATTGTAAAGATTTGGACGTACGATTAGACGTCAAAATCGATCCAAAAAACCGAAAGGAAAACTCGCGTGAACACTCGCGTCCTTTAACAAAAGTTCGGTTCTCTCCCTGTTGCGTGAATGTTCACTTCCTTTATGCTCCGGTCACCAAAATCTTCAACTCTATAAAAGAAGTGATTCGAAAGGCTTGTTCTTGATTAACTTTTTATCCGATTAAATTATTTTGATATACCCCGAAACAATTTTGATCTGAAAGTGTATTCATGATTCATTAAACTATCAAGTTGTAATTCTCATTCTTTGTTTTATTAATTCTTCAACACTGCTTCGCTGCGTTAATCCTCCTAAATTTCTAACATAGAGGAGGGAGATTTCTACTAGATTAATTTAGGGATTATTTTTATCCTTCCCTATCTTAAAACATAAATACAATAGGAGTTGTCTTATTTAGGAAAAAAATGTCATGTCTTAGTCTTATTCTAGGAATTTTCTCATCTCAAAATTAAACTTCGAGTATAGTTTTAATTAAATCAGTATAATCCGAGATGATGGATAAAATGATGAAGTTAAGAGTTTTGGATTAGACTTTGGTTAGGTCTTAGCTTAAATTTGCTTTAAATTTTGGTGGATACAGTAATTGGATTATGCTATGTGTACCCCAAGATTTATACCCCAATTTGTACCCCGCAGTTTTGCACCAACATTCTGTGTTGGTGTAAAACTAATTTTTGTTAAACGCACCAACATTTGTGTCCGTGTGAATTTTTATTAACGCACCAACACTTGTATCAGTGTAAACCATTAAAATGTTTGTGCAATCCTATGGTGTACAAATGGGGTATATTTTTTGGTGTAAGTGTAGCATGGTTCTACAGTAATTTGATGGGGAGAGGTGATGTACTCGTAATTAACATGGATGAGCATAGAATGTCGTCCCTACAAATATTCTTTTGAAGCATAGAGCCATAGAACAATAATGCAATGGTAGCTTGTACGGTACTAGTTGTAGTTGTAGCTAGGGAATGAGTGTGGGAGGGAATGAATGACGACGTCTTTTAAGGCATTTTCTGATTGAATAAATTCAGACTTTGGGGATGATAAATTATCAAATCAAAATGGGATTCAATTATTTTGATGTACCTACCCAAAAGCAACCTGAAAAAGTTATCTCTGATGGGACGATCGATCGATGGACTTCAACCAGTTGTTGAAGTTTTTATCGTTTACGGAGTTACATACCTACGAACCTGTTGATAGTACCGCGGGAAAAATAAAATAAAATAAATCTGAACTTATAAAACGTTTGGATTTTACAACAAAATAAAGAAAAGGAAAGTTGGAGTCTTCGGATGCTTGAACAGACGCAAGAACACGAAAGGACGGAGAGAGTAACGGCGTCGGAGCAGTTTTAGGAAAGAAGGGTAAGGAAAGCGGAGTCGCCGGAGCTTTCCTTAAGGTAGTATTGCCCGCCTCCCGCACTGGCAAACGTGGGCAATCTCCTCCTAGGATAAAACCGCAGCGTGCTAAGTCTAGAGCGGTAGAACAGAACACCGGCGAACGAGAATGACGGGGAGTTATCGCCGGAGAAGATGATTGGAGATGGGGAGTAGTCGGAAACTTTAGAAATGCAGAGAGAGAGTTGTTTCGATTCGAGTGTGTTTTATCCCTGCAACCGAGCCCTCCTTTTATAGGAGAGGAATTGGCTCCTCAATTGGACTGGACGGAGTTACCGAGGAGACTCAGGCCAACCCTTCGCCTCCATGCATGCATGCTTTAACAATTAACGAAGTGTACACGCGCGTTTTGTTTTGGTCTCGTAAAAAGCTAGCCCCGCCCCGCCGCGGGCGCGCCTCGCCTCACCCCGCCCCGCCCCGCCCCAACGCGCGCGCGCGTGATGTGCCGAGCCGGACGGCGGCGACGGCGTGCGAGGAGTCTTCTTCTTGTTCCTTTCATAAGCTCAATTAAGTGCTCAAGTTTAAATATGAGAATGTGAAAGGTTCAAGATCCGGTGTGGGACAAAGACTTTTACTCTTCTCATGTGTTCGACTTTGTGAATTAATTTCTCATTCAC